GCCTGCTTCGGATTCTGTGTCTCCCTCTCTCTCTGCCGCACCCCGCTCATGCTCTCTCTTTCTCTCTCTCTCTCAAAAATGAAAAAATACATTAAAAAAATATTTTTAATAAAAAATAAATTAAACACACTGTGCTGAGCCACTTCCCTTTCTGAGTCTCTGAGGTCAGTACATAGAGACATGTGCCTCATGCAGCTTGACTTAGTGGTGGAAACGCGGGCCTTCGAGCCCAGACTTGAATTTGAATCTCCCCCTTGTCAGCTCACTTGGTCTCTGAGCTATTTCTATCCCCTATACCTACGTGCTTCCTGTAACCATCAAATGGAAAACAAAACGCCAGCCGCACGGGGTGACTATAAGGACTCAATAACACAGCATACGTGACCACTCAGCCAAGTGTCCCAATTCGGCCCACAGATAAATTTTATTTGGGCCATAGAGTGTTCTATCAACATTTGTGCCAACGTTTAACATCCTTAGATGTTTTTTTTCAATTTCATAAAATAATCTCTTACTATATATGAACAAATTGATGCCAAATAAAATGATAAAAGGAGGTCAGGGAGAAATTGCTCACAACACATTTAACATTAATATTCCCCAGTATTGGCAAGGTAGAGAGAAAGAGGCCAGTGCGTTTATGGCCAACGAGACGAAAAATCAGTAGGAAATTTTTAGACATGTTCGATATTATCTGAGTTTAAAATATGGACATCACTTGATTCCTTACTCTTCCCCTGTGGGTCTATATTATAGAAAAACTTACATAATGTGTTTATTGAAGAATATTCTTTATGGTATTTCTCCGTAAGGGCGGATGAAATCTGAACAGGGATGGCTTGGAATGATTAGGAAGAGGGAAGCACATCCATAAATGTACAAAGGAAAAACACTACAGCCCTCCTTTCCACAGTAGGACGACCTTGGCCAAGCCCTTCCCCAACGCTCCATGAGGGAGGAAGAAAAATGCTAAATACGCATTGGGCCACTCACTGCTATTGCTGTTATAACAAATTACAACAAACTTTACAGCCTGAGACAACAGAACGCATCATCGCCCAGTCCCATAGGTCAGGAGTCCTGGTTCCCCAGACTGGTTCTGTGTTTCGGTCTCACCCTGATTTATTGCCAAAATCAAGCTGTTTGTCGTCGCTTCCAGGGAGGCTCTGGGAAGAAGAGTCTGCTTCCGAGTTCATGCGGGTTGTCTGCAGAACCCAGATCCCCTAAGGGCGGATGTTGTCGCCGCCTTTGCTCCTGGGAGCCTAGCACCCTTGCACCCCCAATTCACAGAGCTGGCACTGACTCGTCGAGTCCTTCCCAGACTCTGAATCCCTCTGATCACCTCCCCCTGCTGCTTCTCTCTGCCTTCCTTTTCCGCCTTCCCCCTGCGTGGAAAGGCTCCTGGGACGACACTGGGGCCACATAGATAATCCCCATCCTAAGGGCACCTGGTGGGTAAACTTACACGTGCAAAGTCCCCCTTTCAGCAGTAACTAGATTAAAATCCTTAGATTTGATATAAAGTAAGGGGTTTGGGGTGAACTGGGCCCCCCTCTCCCCAAGAAAGACATGTTGAAGCCCTACCCCCGGGCACTTCAGCAAGGTCACTGCCGAAGTACTTGGTTAACATGAGGGTCGTGGTGGAAGAGGGCGGGTCCCTGACCCAGTATGACTGGTGTCCTTATAGGACGACAGCGACGCACTGGGCGAACGGTCTCTGACGACAAAAGCAGAGGTTGGAGTGATGCAGCTTCAAGACAAGGAACGCTAAAGCGTGCCAGGAAATCACCAGAAGCTAAAAGAGCCTGGGAAGGACTCCCCTACGGGTCTCAGAGGGGGCACAGCGCTGCCGACACCTTTATTTTGGACCTCCGGACTGCAAACCGCGAGACAAGACGTTTCTACTGTTCCAAGCCGCCCGGTGTGGGGTACTTTGTTACGCAGCCCCAGGGAGCTGATGCACCAGGATCCCCATCTCCCCCCCACCACTGGAGTATGTGGCACTACCCCCGTTCCCTCCTGCTCAGGTTGCCCCAGTCCCCACCACTCCCTGCTGCCAGCCTCGAGAGCCACGTGCCTGTGGCTTTTCGGCAGCACATCCACACTTCTGTTTTCTCTAGAGAAGACAAAGATTTCTCTACAACCACATCTCTATTGAAAGAAAAACCAGGAGGGGCGTCTAGTTCAAACGAAAGACCCACGTCTCTGTGGCGGTGAAACGAGGTTCATGGGTTTAAATGCAAACTCTTTTTTTTTTTTTCACACCTGCCCCAATTTGCTCTGTTTATTCCAGCGTGGCCCCTGTGGCGTCTGAATTCTCCCCGTCCAGCTGTGCTCTCCCTGCCAGGACATCTGGGCACCGTCTCTATAAAACCACATCTTCCAAAAAAAGAACACGGTTCTGCGTTATTCGAACAAAAAGAAGCCCAAAGCTCCTGATTTTTTTTAGAACGGGATATAAGATGTCAGAAACCAAGCCCGAGTGCGTTTTGAATCCTTCAAAAGGTCTAAGTATTTATGCTTTTAATTTGGGGCAAACAGCGCCTGAGGCCTACAGACAGAATTCATCGGTGAGTTTTCCATGAATACATTACAATCACTGGTCCGCGGCCATAACCGATGCGCCGAGAGACGCGATAACAGCTTTTTCACCACCAAACGTGCAGCCATGTGAGTGTCCCTGCCGTTAGGGCCCCTCACGGATTGCTTGCGTTTCCCCCCTCCCCTGGACCATGCAGGACACCAAGCAGGACAGCCACACCCCCGCAGACTCACCTTGGGTGGCTTTAGACCTTTCCCGCGATGTCGTTTGGAGCGCAAGAGACGTTCTCTCTCCTAGAAGGAGATACAACGGTTGGCATTATCAGCCAGCCTCATATCACACCAGCCAACCCAACTGGCTCCCAAAGTGCGCCTCCCCCCGCCGTTGGCACTGGGTGTGCGTTCGTCCAAGTTCTGAGCACCCGCGTGACGGCCGCCTCCCAGAACTGCACGCTACAGGGCCACCCCATTTACTCGAGTCCTTAACGGGACTGGGACTGTCTTGACCAAAAAATACCAAAGTGTGCCAATCCTGAAAGCCCCAGCCTGTCTGCGCTGGGGGCTGGAAGTCATAATGCACAAGGCAGTGCTGACTGGAGATCGCCGTTCTGTCAGTGACCACAGCCCAGGATGAAATAGTTTGCGGCTTTGAGCTCAGACAGAGCCAGGTCCAAATCTTCATGGGCCTCCTCTGAACCGGGTGACGCGTTTTATTTCTCTGACTCTCAGGTTCTTCCTTTGCTCTATGGGGCTAGAACCTACCAAGCAGCATGTCCCTAAGAAAGAAACAAGAGCCTGTGGCTGCCTGGTGGCCACTGTCAGTAAGATCGGCATCTTCAGGGCAGCGGACGGAGTGGCAGCCTTTCCACTCCAAGCAAAACCAGGACGTCTCTCCTTTCTAACTCAGCCCTGCTTTTCCCCTTGGCTACCGGGAAACCCAGAGGCAAATCTGCTGTTTGGTTATAGCCCTTATGGTCTACCCATCCGTCCCTCCTCATCTCAATGGATGCAGCGATCTTTATTTTTTCTGGGATTGTTGGTTTATCATTCCTCTTTCAACTTTATCGTCATTTTATTGAAGGTGTGTTTTCATCTTACGTTCTACCAAGTTTTGGGGTAATGGAGAAAGATGAGAGGAAGGATGGATAGAAGGAAGAAGGTATGGCAGAAAGAAGGGGAGGATGGATGGATGGATGGATGGAGAAATGGAAGGAAGAAGGGATGGAAGGAGAGAGAGGATGATGGGAAGATGAGAGGATGGATGGATGGATGGAAGGAAGGAGAGGGGGGGTGGATGGACAGATGGAAGGAAGGATGGATGGACAGACAGATGGAAGGAAGAAGCTATGGGAGAAAGAAGGGGTGGATGGATGGATGGATGATGGATGGATGGGTGGCCGGACAGCTGAGGGATGGAAGGAAGGAGGGGGGATGGGAAGATGGGAATACGGATGGAGGCAAAGATAGATGGAGGGACGGGAGGGAGAATGGATTGGTGGGTGGAAGGAAGAAGGGAAGGACTTAAAGAGAGAGGAAGATAGGCCAGCAAAGCAAACTTGACAGTTATGGTCAAAGCTTTTTCTAGAATTTTGATCACTGGCTTTTCTACTCTTGGAAGACCCATGAGTGGAACCATCACATTCCCTCTTGGGCATTAAGAACACACTTTGCTTCTAGGGTCCAACTGAAGCTTCCTGCAAATGCTCTCTTACTGGTGCCTAAGCTCCTTTCACAGACAAAAAAGGATTCTCTGGATATAACAGTCGCCTACTAAGACACACTCCTCTCCCCTTAACCTTATAGATGTAGAGTCTCAGCCAGCCCTTCAAATTCTAGCCTGATTACAAGGTTCAGGCTTTCAAGTTCATGGTCTGCAATAACTAAGCTAAAAAAAAAAAATAGACTTCTCAGGGACAAACTGTGCCCACTGTGTCCAGGCCAGATGACCCATTCCTAAAACGGATGCTGCTTCTTAGCAACAGCAAACCAGGGAGAAGAGTTGAGAAAAAGAGTAGCCATGGAGACGGCTTCCAGGCACCAGCGGTGTCTTTTACACAAAGTCGAGGCTGCTGTCTGGCTGAATTAAAGCAGCAAGGTGCCCGCACGGGTGAGCTCCGTGAGACCCCACCCGCATCAGCAGCAGTGCCCTGGAGCCTCGATGCCATTCGTCACACCGCGTCGCCCGGCGCCACACTGAGCGATGTCACCAAGCGCGAACGTACCAGCGAGAGGTCGTCGATGACGTGCTGTTGTTCCAGAACCTGCAGCCGCAGGAACTCGATCTCCTGCTCGTCCCTCGTCAGGCTGAGGTCGTTCAAGGAAGTGTGCCGCTTCAGGGACGCCTGTGCCGACAGCTTCTCTTTCTGCAGCCAGAGGGAGAGCGCCCAGCAGGAGGTTGGTTACAGCGCGAGCACCCAGCGGGAGGTCAGGGGGCTCCCAGCGGGAGGTCAGGGGGCACCCAGCGGGAGGTCAGGGGGCTCCCAGCGGGAGGTCAGGGGGCTCCCTGCGGGAGGTCAGGGGGGCACCCAGCGGGAGCTCAGGGGGCACCCGGCGGGAGGTCAGGGATGCAGGAGGGAAGAAGGCTACCCAGTCCCCACGTGGGAGGAGGGGACAGGTGCAGACCAGAAGCAAGCTGCAGGCTGAGAGAACGGGCTGGGCAGGCGTGGGGGTGGGAGGTGGTCGTCCAAACCCGGGCCCTGGAGGCTGGACGAGGGAGCTGGGGAGGCAAGGCACGCCACCGGCGATCGTGTCCCCCTCACACCGGGGCCTGCTGGGGTGCGGGGAGAAGGGCACCCCACCTCCCAGAGCCTCAGCCTTCTTGCTGGAAAAGGGGCGACTGACACCGCTTGGGACAATGAACCTCGGACTCCTCCACGAGCCAGCAGTTACAAGACACCGCCCTGGCCACAAAGACTGAGCACTCTGATGGGAGCAAACGCAAATCCCTTATGCAACGGTGGCCGTTGCTCTCACGTGCGAAGCGTCTGCAAAGAGCTAAGGATTCCGTGAGGCCTTTCCATGCCAACACTCCACCCTCTGGGTAGCCCCGCGGTGCTGATAACCGCATCCCCCCCACTTTATGGACGAAGACGCTGAGGCACGGAAAGAACGGGGCTGTGTCCGAGGCCCCGGGGGCAGCAGGGGGTGGGGGGGCAGGGCTGAGGCGCAGACCCAGCTGCGGGCACTGCCTGGCCTTCTGCCTCTGGGCACAGCTCAACACCGTGCCCCCTAGAGAAGCGGGGCCAGCAGGGCTGGGCAAGGTCGGAGAGCCCTGGCGAGCTTCCTGGGGGAGGCGGGGCTGGGCGGAGACTGTGGGCTGCGAGGGTCAGTCGGGGGCTGGAGAAGCCCAGACGGAGACTTGAACCCAGGGCTGACTCACCATTTCCACATTCTCCCTCATGACGCTCTTGATTTTCTCCTCCATCCTCTGGATGCTCTGCAGCAAATCCTCATTCTTCTTGTTCATCCGCTTGTTCTTCTCCACAAGGGGCTTCAGCTGGACCTCAGTCTCCCGGGAGCGTTTCAGCTGCGATCAGAAAGACACAGAAGGCCGGTGGCTGTAAGGCCCAGCGGACTGCTGATGTCACACCGCGGAGGCCAGCAGGGGTCCAACCCGGGACCGGAGCTGCCTCCGCTGGGACCACAAACCCCAGGAAGATCCCACAACCACCTGGATCCCAAACACAGTATCCCACCTGAGGCTCGGGGGGCCTCGCGTAAGGCAAGAGGGGAGGCCCACAGATCCGCCCCCGGGCACCCCGCTGGCAAGTGACCTGTGCTGGGTCCACTGGTCTGCACTTCCTTCACCTCTGGGCATAACCCCCAGGGGTCCTGGGTCTCACTCGCAAAGGTCAATCCCATGACCCGGCTGCTCCTGGCCACCATTCCTCCCCAAGTACAGACCTAGCAGAAAGCTCTACCTTCTTGAGACAGCAGGCAATCAATCCTGGGCCCCACTCCGTGCCAGACTCGGTGACGGGACATCAAACCCGAAGGCGTTCCCTGAGTCTGTACAACTAGGGGCTGTCCTTCCAGTCTCTCCCGTGGGATCAGCGCTGGGGGAGCCCCTCTGGTGCCTGGGGCCCTGTGCTGGGGGCCGAATCGAAGGGACGGCACGCCAGGGTGCCCGTCCAACGTCAGAGGAAGAGGGCAAAGACAGTAAAGGAGGTAAGAACGCGGTGAGCCAAGCGCGGGCAGATGTTCCAGGCGGGGAGACCACGCGCCCTGAGGTTCAGAGCGGGCAAGAACACAGCTCGTTCAGTGCAGCGGGAACACAGAATGTGGGGTGCTGGGTGTAGAGGGGTGGACACGGTGAGGCCTGGTTTCGGGGGCTGGAGAACTCTGTCATTCAGTTCCTGCCCCGGCCCCTGAGGGCTGCTCTCTGTGGTCGGGTCTGCCTTCTCGAACACACTGTGCCTCCCCACAACCCCAGCAGGGGCCCCATCCCCACTTTACAGACAGAGAAACTGAGAGCAAAGACGTGGGATGCTGTGCTCGTGGCCACACAGAAAGTGCTAGAACCAAGAACCAAGCACAGGGACTGACTGCAGACCCCTGATTTTGGTCGCCAGGTTGTAAAGTTAAGATCAAGCAGTCTGGTGGGACCCACTCAAATATAAAATGGACCTTTGAGGGGCGCCTGGGTGGCTCAGCTGGTTAAGCGTCCAACTCTTGGTTTCGGCTCAGGCCATGATCTCACGGTTCCGTGGGTTCGAGACTTGCGTCGGGCTCTGCGTTGGCAGAGAGAAGCCTGCTTGGGATTCTCTCTCTCCCTCTCTCTCTGCCCCCCCCCCAACTCGCACTGTCTCTGTGTCTCTGAAAATAAATTAATAAACTTTATGAAAAAAAATGACCTTTGACCCATACATTCTACTTCTGAAAATCCTCACAGGAATAAAATTCCAAGTAGTAACGACAGAAATGTGTCTTCGGGTGGCATATGCTCATAACAGCAAAGACACCCGAGCAGCCTAGAGGAATGGGTGAATGAGCCACGGGTCGTCCTCAAAGGGGGGCGTGAGCCGTGCACCTGCCCAAACGACAGCCGGAACTGATGAATCGTGGGGAAAAAAGCAAGTTGCAGAACAATAACACAGAGGAGAAAATATCCCGTCTGTAACGGCCAAACAACAGACAGTCTCCTGGTGGGTGTCGATATATCTACACCAGTTTTAAAAGCATGTAAGAACCACCCCCAAACAGCTAATAGTAGTTATTTCGTGATTTTAAGATCAAAGTGCTGGCTAGCTGCTCAGTTTTTGCTTTAAACACTTCAGTGTGCTCCAAATTGTTGCACACAAGCTACATTTCTTTTCTAATCTTCTCAGTGAACTATTATGCAGTACATGAGGGACTTTTTTTAGTTAATGAATATTTAAGCGAAAAGCGTACATCTAATATTAGACATACAGTCTGATTAAAGCCACTTGAAAATATGCTTTTAAAAATACTTGATGGAGGAGTGCCTGGGTGGCTCAGTCAGTTAAGCGTCCGGCTCTTGATTTCGGCTGAGGTCATGATCTCACAGTTCGTAAGATCGAGCCCCGCTTCAGGCTCTGGGATGACAGTGTGGAACCCGTTTAGGATTCCCTCTCTCCCTCTCTCTGCCTCTCCCTTGCTGTCACTCTCTCTCTCAAAATAAATAAATAAAAACATTTGAAAAAATTAAAAAAAAAATACTTGAAGGCAATGACTTTACTTTGATCCTGTTAAGATTACAAAGAGGTGACTCTTACTCATGCTGTTCATCTCGCATGGTTCTCACATACTATATAGATGCACTTGCGGGGCGCCTGGGTGGCGCAGTCGGTTAAGCGTCCGACTTCAGCCAGGTCACGATCTCGCGGTCCGTGAGTTCGAGCCCCGCGTCGGGCTCTGGGCTGATGGCTCGGAGCCTGGAGCCTGTTTCTGATTCTGTGTCTCCCTCTCTCTCTGCCCCTCCCCCGTTCATGCTCTGTCTCTCTCTGTCCCAAAAATAAATAAATGTTGAAAAAAAAAATTAAAAAAAAAAAAATTAGATGCACTTGCTTTCATGATAAAATTTAGAATCAACAGAAATATGACAAGACACTTGTCAAGAAGTTTATGTACCGACTCCCACGACATAAAAGTTCACTTCGCTGTTTATGCAGCAAATTTACACATATTCAGGAAACTACTCTTTTTACTAGATTATCTTTTTATTTGTTTATTTATTTAATAATTTTGAGAGAGAGTGTACATGTGCCGAGTGGGGGAGGGGCAGAGAAAGAGGAAATGGGCGTCCCTAGGGATTCATTTTTTTTAACCCAGAGTCCCTGTTCATTATCTTTAAAATTAGAAATATGTGAACTTTGGGACTCCTGGGTGGCTCAGTCGGTTGAGCGTCAGACTTCGGCTCAGGTCACGATCTCGCAGTTCGTGGGTTCGAGCCCCGCGTCGGGCTCTGTGCGGACAGCTCAGAGCCCGGAGCCTGCTTCGGATTCTGTGTCTCCCTCTCTCTCTGCCCCTCCCCTGCTCACGCTGTCTCTCCCTCTCTCTCTCTCTCTCTCAAAACTAAATAATAAACATTAAACAAAATTTTAAAAAAGAAATGTCTGAACTTTTCTGCAAAAGAAAGTAAACAGAGAAGCAAAAAACCTAAAATGATCCATCATCACACCACCTAAAGCAGCTCCCAATATCTGTCATGACAATGTGCATGTTTGTTTTGTAAACTGCGTGTCGCTTTAATTTACTGTGAGCAAATAAACACGATGTCTACCGTCCCTCCTAACGACTGTAGACAGTTCACTGCCTAAATGTTCCATAATTACTCTGCCCAATACTTGAGTGTTGAACAATTGGGTTTTTGTTTCGTTTCAGGTCACTTTGGGTCGCTAGCATCAACACTGCAGTGAACATCCTCTCTAAACTCCTCACTGTTTGCTCTGACTCTTTGCCCAGGATAAATTCCTGTAGAAACAAAGGGGAGGAGCAGGTGTCTTCACTGGACGTGTGCTAGATTTTTGGTCAGGAATTAATGGGAAAGAAAGGAATGGAAACCAGGAGGCCTCTGCACTAACTATGAGTTCAAGGCGGGTTTTTCGGCCCCGGGGTGGCTTCCTGGCGCCCTGCAAGGCACCGTCTGTCTCTCGGGGGCTGATTACCAGCTCGTTCCTCTCGTCTGCCAAGAGGGTGTTCCTGTCTTCCAGCTTCCGTATCACCGAGTTCAGTTCAGCAATTTTCAGTTGGAATCGCCGTACGTCTCGTTCGTCCATATGTTGATCCTAAAAGAAAGTCAAGATACGAACGTACTTCGAAGATGCCTTAGTGACTCTGAACACTCCCAGGGAACTCGCGGGACGTGACCGCGAGCTCCTCCTCACGAGGCCCCACGCCACACTGGGCGCCCCTGCAGTCAGGCCACGGGGACGACACCCCAGGCCCTGCCAGCGACCCGCAAGAGACTTCGTCTCAAAGTGACAAGAGGTCAGGCCAAGACAGCTGTGCGTGGTCTCTGGGGACCTTCACGCTCCAGCCCGGGCCCGCCGTGTCTCTCTCACAAAGGCCCGTGACGGACGTGCCAGGACATCCCTCAAGGCCCACCGGGCCAATCTCACCAGCACCTCGTATGCTGTCCGCACAGAGCACGCACGACAGACGTTCAAACATCTGGTGACTGACTGCACGAATGAACGAATGAATGAATGAGTGAACGAAGGCACGCTGCTTCAGCTTCCTCTGAGCACGTTGCCCCCAGAGCCCTTTCCTTCTGGCTAAGGTCCTACTCATGTTGCAGGGCTCTGACTTCAAGACTGGGCGCCTTTCTGTGCTCTTACTGTGCACCCGGCGCTGATGTCTTCACTTCTCTTTCCCACTGGGCTCCAGACCGGCTGGAAGCAAACGCAGACAGCTGCTCTCCCCTCCGTATCCCCAGGCCCAACGCTGGGCCCTGCACGTGGTTAACGTCAGCCAGTCTGGGGAGGGAGGCCAGACGCACGGACAGACGGAAGGGAGGGAGGGGTGAGAGGAGGCAGGCAGGCAAGGTGCCCGGGGGGAACGACCGCAGAAAGGACAGGCAGCAGTCAGCCACGAGGCCCCGGTGGTTGTGTGAGTCGCCACTCCCCGTACCTGGACGCCCATGAGCTCTGCCATGTCCCCGATGCCAGGCGGGAGCTCTCTCTTGGGACTACTGTGGTACCGCTCAGCCTCTTTGACCTGAACCAGCTGCTCATCCAAAGCCTCCTTCTGAAGAAGCAGCTTCTGGGTCTGGCCGGTCTGCACGCCGAGTTCCTTCTCCAAGGCCAGGATCACACGGTCTTTCCCTCTGATCTCGTCCATCTGCAAAAGAGAAAGAATGAACAGTCAGCCTAAGGGCTCGTGACCACGGCAATCTCTCCCTCGCTGGCCTGAGGCCCAGAGGAAAAGGTTAAGAAGGATCGAGGACCCAGGTCAGCTGAACTTGGAAAACTCAGGACACAGAGGGGCCACTGTCCACGGCCCAGGCCCCGCTCCCCTGACCACAGAGGAGCAGACAATTTACGGTTCGATGGCCAGACGCTCACCATTGAAACAGGGCTAGGTTCATTTCTCTCTCACGTGAATTAAATAAAACAAAATCCTGACCTCCAGGCACCTCCAGCCACCTCACGCCCCACAGCTCGGCTTCCTCACCGAGTTGGTGGGTCTTGTCTCCCACTCACCCCCCGAGCCTCTCCCGTCCGGTCACAGCCCCCACCTCTCCACCAACACAGCTCTCGTTAAGGTCTTTGATGCTCCCCTGGCCCCCAGACCCACAGGACAACTTTCTGTCCTTCATCCTCACCAACGTGTGACCAAGCCACTCACGCCCTGCTCCACGAAGCTCTCCCGCCCCTCCCGCACTATGCCATGACTTCCTGGTTTCTGTCCTTACAGACTCACCTTGTTCCGGCCGCCATTAAAGTCTGGACTTTCCAAGGCTTGGCCCTCTTCCTTTCCCCAGGCAGCCGCGTCCTCACCCATGACGTTAAACCCCCATATGCAGCCGACACCCCAATGTGTTCCCAAGGCCCTGACTTCTCTCAGAGCCCCAGAATCATAGAACTAACTGAGTATTTGACATCTCTGCTGGGGTCTCTAAAGGACCTCAGCGTCTCCACATGCAAACCTCAAAGTGAGCCCCAGTTAGCCCCAGCCCAGTCTTGTCCAGCATTCCCTAGAGGAAACCAAGCAGAAAGCAGCTTACAGAAGAGAAAGCTTTGGCCCCGGGCCATCCACTTCAACTGATTCCAGACAGAGAGTCAACGGCTGGAAACTGCCCCAGTAAGGGTGCTGTGCTGGGGTATCCCCTGCCACTGCGTGTCCTTCCTAGAAACTGAGAATGTAGGGGCGCCTGGGTGGCGCAGTCGGTTGAGCGTCCGACTTCAGCCAGGTCACGATCTACCATGGTCGGGAGTTGAGCCTTGTCGAGGAGCTCTGGGCTGATGGCACGGGCACCTGGAGCCTGTTTCCGATTCTGTGTCTCCCTCTCTCTCTGCCCCTCCCCCGTTCATGCTCTGTCTCTCTCTGTCCCAAAAATAAATAAACGTTGGGAAAAAAAAATTAAAAAAAAAAAAAAAAAGAAACTGAGAATGTGAGGTCATTTGGGAACAGGGTTGCTGCAGATATAGTTAGGAGGAGGTCACACCGGAGTAAGGTGGTCCCTATGACTGTGTCCTTAGAAGAGAAGACGAGGCACACAGATGCCTCCACCCACAAGGCTGGGTAGAGACGGAGACAGAGACTGGAGTGATGGACCCAGAAGCCTGGGGACATCACAGACTGTCTGCAGCCACCAGCCCTGGTTCCTCTCTGCAGCCACTAGCAAGGACGGTTCCTCTCCAGCGCCTTCAGAGAGCACGGCCCTGTGACCCCTTGATCTCAGATCTCCCGCCTCCGAAACTATAAGCCAATAAAGTTCTGTTGCTTTAGCCACCCAGCTTGTGGCCCTTTATTACAGCAGCCCCGAGAAACGGAGACAGGCTTTAGAAGGGATAATTTGCCAAGCACTAGGAGAGAGTGACGCGGGAGGCCAGCAGTGCCAGGAGCCCCAGGAGCTGGGAGAGGCTGGAAGGACCCTCCCCTGGAGCCCCCGGGGAGCACGGCCCTACCGGCACCTTGATTCCTGACTCCTGACTCCTGGCCTCCAGACTGTGCGGGAATACCTTTCTGTTGTCTTAAGCCACTGAGTTGGTGGCCGTTTGTTAAGAAAGTCACGGGAAACAAAGATACTCCGTGACTGTGATCTGTACCTCTTACTTGTGACTGTTGCACCTCAAGTCCAGACACAGACAGTCAACGGCCGAGAATAGTGGTTAAGAGCCCCGTTCTGGCAGCAGACGTAAAGCTGATTCAAAGGCCCTCCCCGACACCGTGTGACCTCCTGAGGCACAGCACAGGCAGGGCCACCTGTCGGACCCAGCCTCAGCCTCCATAAAGTGGGGACACGGAGACCTCTTAGGACCTCCCCGGTGCAGTTGTGGAGAGTTACATCTTAGTGCAGACCCTGGCATGTTATAAGCTGTGGTCAATGTTGGCTGCCCCCGTGAATCTGTGTTAGCTCCTGGTGAACATATTGAAACGGCAGACCATATTATAGAAGGGGGAATTGGTACCCTCAAAACACTGGGGGGTTTTCAAGCAAAAGTCCTACAGTTCTGAAAAACTCTTTGAGCCGCCTTTCTTTTAGAGCAAAGAGGGTGCTCCCCTCCCGCCACATCCCCAGCCCCGCAGGACAATCTCCTGGGACTCCAGCCAGGGGCCTGCCTGCCTGGCACGGGTCTCCTGAGCCCTGGGCCTGCCTGAAGCCGCGGCAGAAGGTGCCCACTGCTCCCCCTGGTGGCAACCCACCATCAGCTCCCCGCCTGGCCCTAATCCCTGGGAGGAGCACCTCCTGGCCGTGGGGAGGAATCCTTAGGGATGCGGAAATTGTTGCCACGGCCCAGGCCAGTCCAGAAGCACTAAGCAGTACGTGAAAGTTCATTAATGTAAACCACTCACGCGCTGCCATTAATTCAACAAATACTGAGCTGAGCGCCACTGATGGGTCCTGGGAAACCTCTGCAAACAAAACAGGCTAGAGTCCCTGCCCTCAGAGTTTCCACTCTGGAGGGGGAGGCAGTCACTAAACAATAAGTCAACACTGCAGTGGCTGAGAGAGGGATTCGCACAAGCGGGAGAAAAGAAAGTGCGGGAATCAGCAGGGCCAGCGGGCCGTGGTGCGAGTTAACGGGGAGGGTCCCCTCGGCATCCGGGCCACTCATTTCTTGCTTTGCACTGGAGCCCAGAAATGGAGCCCCCACCATGCATTACACTAGCTCCTCCCACACAAAGCGGCAGGACTGCGAGCAGGACACCTCTGGAGCCCCAAATTCTGCACCTTAGGAAAGTGCCCGTTCCCCGCTTACTCTCGTAAACGAGCAGAGGGCTTGCACCCGTCACCCTGGGAAAGGTTCCCAGAAAACGGTTTCCACCAGCAGTGATGACAGCCAGGAACGAATGGACAATGCAGAATGTATTCTGGAATCAACATCTGTCAGGTTCCCCAGCCAGAGTCCTCAGGGCCCCCCAGGGTAGGAGACTTGCCAACTTCACACAGCTAAAGGCAAGCCCTCCATTCGTGGACTTTATGTCTGTCTCCTAGGCTGAGTTCTCAGCAACCCTGTCCCCTTCCCCCAGGATGCTGACAAAGCCATGAATCTCTGACATGAGATTCCCCGACCTGCATCCCCTGAGCGAGCAGACTCCCTCTCCCAGCCTCTGCTCTCAGCATATGTTACAGGAGAGGGGTGGGGCTGAAATCATTCCAGTTCCCAGGGAAGGCCCTGATTGGCTCACAGCAGTCACATGCCCTGCCCCCTCACATTCAACGGCTCCGGGATGGCTACAGGACCCAATCAGAACGAATAGCTTAGAGAGAGCATAGCTAGGACCCTCCTGTTCCTCCTTAGGAGCTAAAAAAGGAGATTCACTTTCTCTGAGCTGTGTGTGTCAGGATGGGGGGGGAGGGGCCCGGCACAGCAGTGACATCTCACCAGCACAGCGTGAGATCCCCGAGGCTGAAAATGGCACCGGATGAGTCGGAGCAGAGCCTGGGAACCCTGGATCCCGGGGGGGCATGAGCGCCTCTGGAGCCCTGCCTGAAGCTTCTCCTACTCCTTCAGTCACAAATGCTGACAGATGATGGTTCAAGCGGGTCGGAGGTGGAATTTCTGTCACTTGCGACCCAAAGACCCTGACACGGAGTTAGGGAAAGCACACAGACTGGGTGATGGCTGTCACTTCCTTCTTACGTGCCAGCGTGAGCTCGGTGCCACGTCCGTACTGATGAGACACGCTCTGTCTTCAGAAGACCCTCACGGTAGACACCACCCGCCCCGCTTCACAGCCAGGTGAGGCCTGGGGAGAAGCATGTGCCCAAGCGCTGGTCAGCAGCAGGACCACGATGCCAACTCAGGTCAAACTCTGCAATGCTCTCACCATCCCACGTGCCCCGCGGGTGCAGAATCCAACCACCTCCCCACGGTCGCATCCACCAGGACGTTTGTCCCGACAAGAACCTTCGTGTGGCCAGCTCCCAACATGCCCAGCAACGCGCAAGTAGCTTGGCGAGCTCCACCGCACCCCAAAGTTCGGGGAACGAGGAACGAAGCGGGGGCTGCTACCCCGACACCTGTTCCCCCTCTCCTCCCGCCTACCTGTGGTCAGCGACTAGCGTCAGCGTTCGCCCAAATGTCACGTCGACCCTAAAAGTCAGAATGGGATCTTATTTGGAAACGGGGTCTCCGTGGATGCGATTACGATGGACGTGAAGATGAGGTCACACCAGATTAGGGCAGGCCCTAGATCCACGACTGGCGTCCTCGCGAGAAGGGGACGAGACACAGACACACGGGGGAGGACAGGTCACGTGGCGGCAGAGCCTAGAATGGCACGGCCACAGGCCGGGGGGCGGCAAGGATTCCTGGCCACCAGCAGAAGCCGGACGGGGCAAGACAGCATTCCGCCCTGCAAGCGGCGGGGGGGCGTGGTCTCGCTGACCCCTTGATTTCAGACTTCCGGCCTCCAAAACCGAGGGAGAAATAAATTCCTGTTGGGAGCAGCTGAGTTTGCAGTGACTTGTTACGGCAGCCCTGGAAAACTAACAGAGCACCAGACCGGATTTATCACACTGCGGTGCACTCCGTAAAGGGACTACATTTCCCAGTGGCCCCTGCAGGTAGATGAGGCTGGGTAACTGTTGGCCAAAGCGGTGGAAGTGGAAGTGTGTGGAACTTCCAAAAAGAAAAGCGTTCTTCAGTGAAGACTACGCCCTTCTTCAT